AATTCAAACTTCCAACAGCTAGCGCCACTAGCCGTTGTAAACCTTTTTTTTTTTTTATGAATTTAAACCTTTTTTTTTTCTTATTTTTTTTCTATAACTTCCTATAACTTCTATTTTACAAAATTTGTTTCAATTTTTTTTAATTCTATTTTTTTCCTATAACTTATATTTTACAAAATTTGGTTCATATTTTTTTCATATAACTTCTATTTTACAAAATTTGTTTCATATATTTTTTTAAATTCCATTTTTTTCCTATAACTTCTATTTCACAAAATTTGTTTCATATTTTTTTTAAATTCTATTCTTTTCCTATAACTTCCTAACCCATTATACAACATTAAATTAAATTAAGTAACACGAAACAACATTAAACAATATGAAACAACATTAAATAACATTAACCAACATAAAAATTATACAACACTAACCAACATGATTTTTAAATAAAATTAAGTTGTAGTTTTTAAATAATAAATTATGTTTGGCCCTATGGCCCTTTGGCCCTCGGTTGGAGACGGTTTTTTGTGACAGGGCTAAAACGAGCCCTCTGGCCCTCTGGCCCTCTGGTTCTCGGTTGGAGACGGAGGCAAATATGGTCCTGTACTGTTCATTAAAATATTAATATCTTGGATAATCTTGGAGGGCCAGAGAGCTAAAACGAGCCATCTGGCCAGCCCTCGTTTAGAGATGGCCTTAGCAGTACGTTCAGGTTCAGCCATCTTGCTATACATGATACATCCACTGCCCACCCGATATCGATCTGACAGACCAGTTCGTCTCTTACTCTTCTATCATTGTTTTATATAAATAACTTTATATACGCCCGATGTATATTATATATGATTCTTCTTCTATGGCTGTTGAAGTTGAAGATGTAGAAATAAATAACACGAGGTTTCACAGGTTGTATAAAATTGAAAAAATTCGTAAAAACATGAGACTTTGTCAAGTTTAGACGAGGAAAAATTAACTAAAGGTTCAACTCACCCTATTTTTTAATCTTGCATTCGTGCCAGATTGGAGGTCACACTCACACTGAACTGTTTGTATAGATGTGAAAGAAGTATGTACATATTTATTTCCTTTGACTGATCGATGCTTAATTATTGATTAACATATAAATATTCTTGTAAAATACTGAAGAAAGTGGCAACATCGAAGCCGGTCAAACCCCTGTTGTGATCATCATGCACCTAAATGAGTTATACAATAGCTTGTGAGTAAATTTTAGGAACTTTAACGAAAAACATTCGGTACTATTTATTTTAACGAAAAATTATATTTTTACATTAAAAAGTTAATTCTGATACTATTTATTTTACCTTTTATTTTATCCTTATCGTTAAAACTCAAAGTTTTCAAACTATTTTCATTAATTTTCCTTAAATGTTATGCCACATGTACATTATTATAGTGACGTCATGAAGGCAAAATTTCTAGGCTACCTAACCTATTAAAAAACCTAATAATATTGTTTCTCATCTCTTCGACTAAAATATACATTGGGCATAAATGAAACCTTTGTAAAAAAAAAATTAAAAAAATTAAAAATTAAAAAATTAAAAAAACTCGACGGCAGGAGTAAATTCATTAATAAATAACAAATATGTACCTGGTTAGAAGGACATAATTGAGCATCTTCAAAATGCATACAAAAACATACAACAAAAGCAAGAAACAAACATGCAATGCAAATATGTACAACATACTAAGTAAAATCTTAATAAAATGAGAATTCTTCAAAATACTCAACAATTGACAAAAAAAAGTTCAACAAACATAAACAACACAGTATAATCCTAATCACATAACCTAAATTAAGTGAAACACCTAACTTGGGCTGAGTTGTACTAAATCATTACAACTACAACTAATATTTTTAATTTCAAAATCTCACTTGGGTTGCAGCCTAAGGCTACCCTCAAAGCGTCCCTATGTTATGTGCAAGTTTTTCTTTGTATAATAACATTTTGCACAAAACGATACATTAAATGTGAACTCGTGTGAGTGTCATTCAAGCCTTCTCACTAAGTTAGATGATCAATCAAAACCCATGTGGTGCAACCAGACGCTTTTAATGATTTTTCTTTCAGGCTAGTTGATCAATTAAATTAAACACATGTGGTGCAATAAGAATATGAGCTAAGCCCTATATTTATACCAAGAACAAAAAGAAAGTCTTGTTTTATATTAATCTCTTCAATGTTTATGAGCTAATAAGCTATATATATCTTTATACATATTTATGCCAATCCACCGCTGCCGCATGCATATATACATAACGTATTGTCCTAGCGGGACTACTATATCCATACCTGTTGGGACGTCTTGTAGGAGTTGGAGACGACTCATGATCATGCATATATGACTGGGTTGGATATGAATTTAATTTGCACAGCTGATGAATTGCAGGACAAATCTCCTTTGGCAGTGAGCACAGACGACGTACGATTAATACAACCATACAAATATATATATATATATATATATATATCACTATAGTATACATGCATGTAGTAGTCAAGTAGTCCACTACCAAAGGAGTAATTGTCCAGTAATGCATCCATATGATCTTTGACTACTGAATAGCTCGCTCTCTCTCTCTCTCTCTCACTATTTTTTTTTTAGGGGGAAGACATGATTGACGATGAACAGATTGGGGATTCAATATGATTATATAAACGGATTTGGATCATATGGACTAGGGAGAGTCTGGAACCGGCCATGCATAATAGCATATTCTGAGCATATCCAATTTACTAGCTAGTTAGATAAGTTTGTTGAACAGTACAGTGAAGAGAATATGTGGTACTGTAGCTTTTATTCCATCGCCACCGCAACCTTATAGTTTGCCTTTAATTCCCAGTATACTAGCTAATATGCACACACGTTTGAATAATAAGAAAAGATACATATGTGTGTGTGTGTGTGTGTGTGGGTATATGTATGTGTATGTGTGTGTGGATATGTGTATGGATATGTGTATGTGTGTATATATGGATATATGTATGTAGTTTCAGTAATTTAATTAGACTCCGAACTCTTTCCTATTTGCATTGTTTGATTTGAATATCGCCAATTTACTAGCTAGTTAGATAAGTTCGTTGAATAGTGCGGCGAAGAGAATATGTGATCCTGTAGCCTTTATTCCATCGTCACCACAACCTTATAGTTTGCCTTTAATTCCCAGTATACTAGATAATATTCACAAATGTTTGAATAATAAGAAAATATCACTACTAGAAAATGTGCTACAGGACAACGTTTTGAGAATACCGTTCTTCATCGGTGGCCTTGTAAATTGGACTGTCACTGTTGTCAAAATTTGGTGTCTTTAACTTGCCTGACACCGATTATGGTGGCTTTAACCTTTGTAAACACCACTCATTAGTGTCAAACTATAAAATTTTTGCGATAAATCTCAATTTACTACCTTCAAGTTTTGTGGTGTTCAACATTTGGTACAAGAAATTTTTTTCGTCCAAGAATCATACTAAAGTGTTAATTTTAGGACAGTCTCATACATCCGTTAGTTTGACTCTTCCGTTAATTGATGATGTGGCACCTATATGAACAATAATTGGATGCCACGTGTCATTAAGGATCCATGTGAATATAAAAAATTCAAAAAAATAATTATTTAAAGAAAAGTACATAATAAAAAAAAAAAATCCCCACCCGCGCCTACCTTCCCACCCCCCATCACCCGCAACCACTTCCCTTCTCACAGCGCCTCCATCCCACCAGAGCTTGCCCTCCTCCTCCCACTCCACCACCTATGGTCCCCTCCTATCCAGATCCCCCCTCAACTCCTCCATTGCCGCCTTTGACCTTCTGAACTCCCACATCAGAACCCCCGACCTCTTCCTGATCTGCCTGATCTCCGCCACAACCCACTCTGCAGCTTCACCGTCAATACCATGAACGACTCCTCCTCCGGCCAACAGAATACCAGCCCGTATAGTAGGATCATTAGCAGCAGTGAGCTCACGTTCCTCATTGCGTACAAGACTCCCCTGAACCCATTAAACCCATTGAGCTTCGATTCAATGGAGACCCTTTCGTCGAATTTGAGTGACAACGACTGAATTTTCGTCTCCATCAGCCCCCTGTTTTGTTAAGTGGGGAGGGAAGTGGTTGCGGGTGATAAGGGGATGGGGGAAGGGGTGGGTGATAGGGGGTGGGAGAGTGGGCATGGATGGGGATTATGGGGGAGACGGGGGATATGAGTTTTTTTGTTTCTTTCTTTTAAATAATTATTTTTTTGAATTTTTAATTTTCACGTGAATCTTTAATGACAGGGGGCGACCAATCATTATCTCTATAGACGTCATATCATCAGTTAACGAGAGATTTAACAGTCAGATTAATAGATGTATGATAAAGTTCTAAATTTAACACTTTAGGTATGATTCTGGGATTAAAAAAACTTCATATACTAAATGTTAAAACCATAAAACTTGAGGGTGGTAAACTGAGATTTAGCTGACACCTAAGTTATTTTACATGTTTTTTCAACTTTGGAACCTGTTTTTTTATTTTCTTTTTCAGTCTTCTTGAGCTCAACTCCTCGCCTCCTCCCTATCCCTCTCCCTCCCCTTAACACCTCCCTCTGTCTCTCTCTACCCAAATTCTCTCTTTCTCAACCAAACAAAATCTATGCATCTCTCTTTACCTCTCTCACTTCTCTCAGATCTGAGATTTTCTTTCCTTTTTTTCTTGGAAAAACACCAACAATACCCGTGCATCAGATTTGAGAAACACCAACGCCTCCGCATCTCTCTCTGTCTCAATCGATCCGTCTCTCCCTCTCTTTGCATCTCACGCTCAGATCCCAACTGTCTGTCGTTCGAGAAAGAACTTGAAGAAATGCAAGAGAAGCTTCAGGCAACGAGGCTTTAGAAGGAGAAACCGAGAAGCTCCTGAAGAAGGAAGAGACCTTGAAGATAAAAAAAAAAGAGCTCCAAACAAAGGGCCAAGAGCAAGACAAGCTTCAGATGGAGTTGAAGATGCTGCAGGAGTTCAAACTCGTCGATTCGGTGAAGTCTGAGATCGGATCTGAGATTCTGAGGAAGCACCATCGTCTTCACTGTTCCTCAGATCAATTGTATAAGGAGGTAGTTGTTTTATATTTTTCCTAATTCCACAGTATTTTATTATCACTTTGGAGCAAATCGTGTAAAATTTGTAGTTTAGGGATTTTTGGAGGCAAAAGGGTTTAGATGGTTAAGGGGTTTGTTTTTGACCTTTGATGCCTTGTGATCGATCAACTGGAATTTCAAACTTGGATTGTCTGTATTTTTATTAGCTAGCTGTAGAGTTTTATGATAAGCATGGAGGTATTTGAGCTGATCTCAGTTAAATTTATACTTAATTATGTCCTCTAATTGTTTAAGTGTTGAAAACCTGAGAGAGACAGAGTTCATACCCCTCGGTTATTTGTACTTTTGTCTTTAATTGTGGTAGGAACTGGGCACGGTGTGGGAGCTGCATTAAATGTTCATGAGGGACCTCAAGGTTTTAGCTTTCGATTTGGAAATATGACTCCGTTGCACAAGGGCATGATTGTTAGATGAACCTGGCTATTATGAAGACCATACCTTTGGTAGCTTCCTGCTGTGCTTAACTTCTTTTGAAAAAATATTGAAAGAAAATCCATACGATTAGTTTGTAGTTAGGGAAACTTTTCTCTTGAAGCTAGAGATCTTACTCGTATATACGTGTATCTAAGACTCCGTAGATATGTCTGTGACCTTTGATTCTCTTCTTGCTTTAGTTGTCTAGAATATGGGAAATCTAAATATATATTGAGATCTTGAGACTTGTAACTAATGACAGATATTATAAAAGTTGTGATTTTTTCCTAGTTAATACATGCACTATATGTGGACACATGTGACCGTTGGATTTCATCAGTCACTTAGTTTAAGCCATAGGATCAAATCAAACAGTTAATTAAATAGGTGTAGGCACTGAGTACCTCTTAAGTACTAATTGCACAAGGTGAAGATATTACATGTGGTTCAAATCCCATATATGAAGAAGGAGATAGAGAAAAATTAAGTGTCATCATCAAGTGATTATTTGTCAGGTAAACTGTAAACATTTGTCAAGAATCCAACTAAATAAAGAATATAATGTTCTCTTCTAAATGGAAGAAAATAAGTGTGTATTCTTTGACTGCGTTCACCATTTCCATACATATAAAATCTGTAGGATAGACTGTCATCCAAACTTCATCTCTGTTGGTCATTTTCACTTGTTTGGGAAGTTTATGTATGAAGTTTCTTCTCGATTCACCAGACATACTTGTAAGCTTTAATGGTTCATGGAGTTTGACTAATATTCCTGGCTAGGCTATATATTATCTTCCTTATAACATTCCTCTCCTCTGATCCTGTGGCATGCTTGATCAGCTAGTACTAGTGGTGGCAATTTTGTTGGACTAGATAGATCTCCAGAAGAGGCTAATGCGATCAATGACATAGATCCTCAAGCTGAAGATAGAGAACTCAAAGTTCAGCTTTCGCACAAATGCAGTGGATATTTGGGCACTCTGAAGCAGGAGTTTATGAAGAAGAAAAAGAATGGAAAATTGCCAAAGGAAGCATGGCATCAGTTGCTTGACTGGTGGTGCAGACATTACAAGTCGCCCTATCCATTGGTATATTTTTCATACTCATCTATATCCTTGTTCATTTAGATCCTTACATTCTAAATGTACTGCAAATCCGGAACATTAATTATGTGGATTTTTGTTGTAGTTCCTATCCAGTCTAACAACATAATCAAACGTAGACATACATCATGTTGATTGTTGTCTTAGTTCATATTGATTCTAACAACATAAGCAAACATTATACCACGAATATTGGGTTTCTTGTTGTGGTAGCGCAATATATTATAAGGGGACCTTGTTTATTAAATGCAGGAGGCTCAGAAGCTAGCACTGGCAGAATCAACTGGTTTGGAACTTAAACAGATAAATAATTGGTTCATCAACCAAAGGAAACGCCATTGGAAACCTTCAGAAGACATGCAATTTGTTTTGATGGACCCAACTCTTCATCAACACCATCACTATCCCCACTTCTGTATGGACAATGCAATCTGCAATCCCTTCTCCATGGATTGCACATCTACTCTCCTTTGATCATCACATTTACATGCTAATTATTACTATCGATCATATAAGATAAAGGGCTTCTGTATGCATATGTATTATGTACGCATTTTAAGACTTCGGTGTTAATTTACATATCTAACTAGTTAACTTTTTAATTCGCCAACTCAATTATGTTGCAGTACCAACTTCTACTTTAGTCCTGCCTCTAGCTTCTCACAATTTCAAAAAGAGAAATGATTTACACACTTGTCTTAACCTGTTTTTTTCGTGTGGAAAATTATAGAGAATCATACTCGCAAGTATATGCTTTTTATGCAGGTTGTAGGAAACAATAAAACTGTAAAGGCATACTTTTTTGTATATTTTAGTCATTTGATCCATGTGCGTATGTGTTTGCAGGTAGAGATAGCAATTACTGAGGCTCAAACATTACGGGGAGCATGTCACTCTTAAAAAACAAGTTTGGAGGTGTTCAAGAAACTGTGAAGTCTTTTATGTGGCAATTTCCTTCCAATTTGTTGCCTGTTTGTACTTCTGATGGATAGTTTCATGTTTTGTAGTATAGCTCATTGTTTTTAGCCCTGATTTTAGGAATATGTGACTAGTTATGGAAGACTACAGCAAACATGCAATTTTGTGTAGTCTATTAATATATATATATATATATATATATATATATATATATATATATATATATATATATATATATATATATATTTGGGTGCCCAGATTAATGGGTCCTTTTAAAAAAAAAACATATTACAACATGGCCACCGATGTATAATAATATTTCAAAGGTGTAACTATTCATTGTGCCACCGTTATCTAATTGGTGGTGATTGTAATAATAGACTTCTATTTAGTGGTTGTATGGTGGCAATTGAGGTTTGTCACCAATGTCAGTGCCCATTCTTTATAATAGACACCAACAAAAAGGATGTTCTTTAGCCAAAATTCTAGTAGTGGATACATGTGTGTGTGTTGTATGTGTGTATTTACGGATATGTGTATGTAGTTTCAGTAATTTAGTTAGACTCCTAACTCTTTCCTATTTGCATTGTTTGATTTGAATATCGCCACAAGTGAGGATTAATTTGGAGAATTGTTCATTGACAACAGAAAGTCTGACCCATAGAAACAGAGTATTCATACACGCTGTCCTAATATGCTTGATTACTTGTTTCGCATACGAATTAAAAGAAGGAAACAAAAAGGTCAAACAAGAAAACTCGAAAGGACTCATGGAGGAAGATCCAAATGTGCGTTACTGCTTCCGTAATGAAGGATGTAACATGCATATGAACTAAAGGAGAGACTGATAACCAGACCTCAAAGTGCAAAGATGGCCAAAAATATTGAGATGGACGGGAGAGGATATTTTGGGTTTGGACCACGATCACATGATGGAGAAAGGGAACCTATTGCTAGCTCCAGGAGGAATATATATTGACCCGCACGCAGCATATGCGACTGTTTACTTCAGCATATCCGATAAATTTTCATTTGTACCTATTTCTGATTTTGTTGTTTTCTTTCTGTTATTGACACTAGCATATGGGCACACACAGTGTGTCCGAGAAAATTTTTTATTTTTGTTTTTGAAATAGAAGAAGAGAGGAAGGGAGTGATAGAGAACCTGGGAGTAGGAAGTTTTTTTTTTAATTTTTTTTATTTTTATAATTAGAGATATGTTAGGATTACATGCAGGTAAAGTTTAAATATAAAAAACAGCAAAATTTGGTTGTGTGAAATTACATTTCTGCCCCATATTTCTTATTCATGTTCTACTTTAATTAGAAGGTTAAACTGGTAATTTCATAGGGTTTTGGTTGACAATGTGTTTTATTAATTAGTAGAGATATTGTCCGAGAAGGTTAAATTGGTAATTTCATAGAGTTTTGGTTGACAATGAATGCTTTATTAATTAGTAGACATGAAGAAAGTTGAGGTTCCACCATAAAACCAATTAGCAATATAGGGAATAGCCAAACCTCTTATAAGCCCATTTAAGGTCATTCATCCCATCAATGTGGGACTCATTCTCAATATAATTTAGGCAGAAGCAAGAGGACTGGACAATATTAGTTAATCAAGACAGATGACTGCAAACATAATGTGAATAGATATTTGAATTAAACATATATAATGTTTGTGTACATATGTACGGGAAGAAATTACACAACAGCTTTGTTAAGGGAAGGGGGAGGGGAGGGGACCATGATAGCATTATATAGCAAGAAGAAAGACTCAGTAGAGAATGATGCCTCGGATATACTGATCGATCTCCCCAGAATATCCATGTCTAATGTGCGAATCACACGATTCATGCCCTAATAAACCATGGCAAGCAATTCAACTTCCTGCAGCAACTCACCTTAACAAGTACATATGCATGCATATGCAAGGTGCACAATGAATTAAAGGACTGTGCTGAGGGTAGGGATGAATAACAGTGCAAATCTCCTTTGGCAGAAATGATTCTGGTGCATTTACTCTTGAGTACTACCACTGGATATGCTTTCTGCCAAAGGAGAATTGCCCTGCAATTCAATAACTCTACCAATGAATATCCAAATATGTGTGTGTGTGTGCGCACCACTTGGTATTCATGCACTTCCATCTATCGGTTTCAAATACAGTAAGCTAGCTAGCACATGTTTTTTTTTATCTTTATTTGTTGCTCACTGTTGCTGTTAATTAATATTTTATTGCTTTGGTATGAAGATGATGATTGTTTTGGCAACAAAAGTACTAGTAAATGAATAATACTCCGAGAAAAATATACATATTCGTGCCATTGAAGCGCAGAGGTGGAGATTAGATTGTGTGAAAGACAGATATGCCTTAATTACGTTTTTCAACTTCAACTTGAGAAACTCATCTACATTACCATGTCACAACAATGCGGATGAAAGCCTGATACAGATTGATAACTGCAAATTTGCAGTTTGATTTGTACTAAATTTTGTGCAGAGCTCAAGAACCCCAACTAGTCTTGATTCTTGGAAAGCTAGTGCTTTCAGATGATCTTGATACAAACGTTTGAAAAGTGATTACCAGATGATTCAAGGCAACAAACACAACGGATGAAAGAGAAGTACCACTAATCTAGCATTGACATAGTTAAGTCTTTGATAGTTTGTATACATTGTGGTGCTCTGAAAGCCTAAGGTTTAAAGAAAGAAGGAATTTTTTGGTTTCAATATTTATAGATGAAACTTTACTCAAGAAATTGTGAACAGTTTTGAACTTTCAGAGGATTAATTTCCTTCTCCACTTTCTGTTATTTTCCCTATGTATAGTTTTGCCACAGTTGTATGAAAACTAGCTAATCCACTTTGGTTTCTAAGTGGGCTACTAATCCACATTCGTTTCTGTGATAGAATACAAACCTAATTAGAATTTCTTCTTCCACAAAACTTGTAATTTACATACTCTTTAAACAATCCTATTCCTTCTAGCCTAAGTGCTTGTGATGTATATATTTTAAAGGGGTTCACCTCAATCACTACAAGAAAAGCACCCACTAGTTACATGATTTGCAATTGTCTCTGTTTGTGTTTATGAAGACAACATATGATTGTGGCCAAAATCTATAGAACAATATCGCCACAATTTGGTGATCAGATTGTTCTATTGGTGATCTGAGTGTTCTATTGGTGTTATTATTGATGTTTGACAATAAGGTATATCACCCAATTTTTCTATAAGCATGGTCACTACTCTCATTGATCAATAAAGCATCAAAATCCAATATATTCATCCTTTTTATTTTTATTGTATTTATTTATTGAAATCTGACGAAATTTTTGTGTGCCTAATTTTCCCCAAAAGTGCAATGGCATGACTCGAGTATTCAAAGTTTAAAATAAATTAACGATAAAGTTACCTACAAGTATATATTGCAAGAGGTTTTTAGTTCAATTAGTTAAAAGCATTTTCTTTTGCACTTTGCACCCAAAGTCTTGAGTTAGAATTCGGCCTCTCTCGATACCACTTGTATATAAAACCCTACAACGTTCCATTTGTGCGCATGTGTGGATTTTTTTATCCTTAATCATAAACTGCTAAATTTACCCTCAATTTTCAATGGCATGTCACAAGCTATAGTATATTTTTTATTTGTCCATACTCATCTTCCTTGCTAATAACTATCTTTAGTATTTTTATGATCTTGTGAAACATCTAATAACTATCTTATTTACTCTAAAAGTTTGTTACTCCATACACATATAGACTAATTGATTTTGCCATTTTTGTAATAGAAAATTGAATGACTCTACAAATCAAAACAACTATATCCAAGCAAATTATTAACAACAGAATTTTTGTGTGAAACAAAGCGGCAGGAGAATTGCTGGGCAAATATCCTTTGGCAGGAATGCATGAAGCCAACACATGCATCTCATAATTGCTGCCTGCCAATGGAGAACAGCCATGTAATGCAACTGCAGCCAGCTGATCTTCATTCAGTTCTGCGGAATGATGCCATGGAGACCAGTACAATTTATACTGTCCAAGATGAGCGTATACAATAGAACAATGCTTTCTTCTCTTGACTCTTGACCCTTGAGTGACTTGGAACGCTTTTCATCACTTGATTTCATAAGTACTAATTCCTCTTAATTTACATTGAAAAGGATTCTGTTTCGCAAATTATATATATTACAGGTTATTGATCCAAATTTTTTCTTGTGTTACAAATGACAGTTTTGATCCTTGGACTTCTAACCTGGCTAGTACCCATCACCTTACCCAGAATTTAGATTACTAGGGTTTCTGACACTTGTATTCCGTCATGCCATAAAACCATATGCTATATATCACATCAATTTAGTCAACAATTTATTACAAGGGTTTTAATTTTGTATCAATGCATATAATTATCATGTCCCTACCTCAACCTGAAACGTCACATATAGCTTTCACACAATAGAATCAAATTAACAATGCTTGATAGGGTTATCGAGAAAATGGGGAAAAGATGAAAAAAGAGAAAGAGAACAGATTTTTTGTGGATGCTTCGTTATGGAAGATCCATATTCCATAGGCATCTTCTCCAAAATCTTTATCTTTCAGGTACGTGTAAAGTTGCAATCTCAGTTCTCATGGCTGTCATCAGCAGCCAGCAGATGGACCCGAAAGTTATATTTGTGTGCAGAAACTCGAGCAAGGACGCACATATTAGCATAATGGATATTGATCACTCGGGCATGAATGATGTATGCATTAAGGATTTTCTACGGTGGTCCAGAGTACAGGAAACTCCGAGCTTTTTAACCGTTAGATTTTTGATCAAAAATATAAAAATCAATAGCTAAGTAGCTAACTGTTATTAAGTTTAGAAATATCCTATATTCTGGAGCACTGTAGAATTTTCGGTATGTATTAAGATATCACACCTCCATTTGTGTAACATGCATGTCCGTACACGTATGAATTTCTATACAAGAAATAATATGTGTGCCAGATTGATGGTCCATACCCTCTTAGTGCCGAGAAGAAGACAAAGCAGAGGAAACCCTAGATGAACAAGTTGATAATTTACATCCTTACGGACAAACTCAACTTAAGCTAACATTAGAAGACAAAGAAGAGGAAACCCTAGAAGAACAAGTTGAAAAGTTTACATCCGTACAGACAAACTCAACTTAAATAAGCTTAGAAAACTAAAGCTAAAGCTTAAAACAGTTTAAAGGATCTGCATGTCAACAGTAGTAGGCATAATAGCATGGTGCTTATTTTTTGTTCATCAGTTGCTTTGAATTGAACTCCAAACGAGTTCAAATATTACATGTCTTAAGAATGATGCCACAAATTCTCTTCTGTCAAATATAAATTTTATTACAACAAATTTGTATGAATATCATATTAGTTGAAGAACATCGATGAACAAAAGTCCCTTGAGATGTAGCACTTAATTGGTCAACAGGCCGCAGTGCAAATGATTTGTTCTCTCCAAATTTTATTGCGTATCCATGTGTTTGAATATTCATTGAGCTATTGTACATAAATTCAGAGTAGTATCCCATTAGTAGAACTTGTCAATGTATATTGATTTGCTACTCTGTAAGGAGCTATTACTTAAAAAATACATGTATTTCACGGCCAAACCAAACAATCCTAACTGTTTCAGAGTGTGAATCCAATATCGGGGAGTTAAGGGATCTTGCATGTGTTTATAAAAAGTTGCTACTCATTATATTGACAATTGATTTTATGGTGAAACCTCAACTTTCTTCACTGATGTTCAAATTCAGATTCACCTTGAGGAGCCAATCTGCAATGATCCAGCAGCCTGTGGCAAACTACCTGTAATCATATGTACAAGTAGCCATTAGCACACATAATGAATGTGTATAGATTGGAAATTAAGAAGAGATTAACTTTACAGCATAAATATGAAATATATGCTACATAAACCAAGTAGAACGAATTCAAAGTCAAGTAACGGCGTTAATAATCGTATCTTGTTTCTGTTCATGTATAAGCACATTAGGAGTACGGTATGTTCATGCAAAATAGAAACTGCAGTAGAATTGCTGAGCAGATCTCCTTTGGCAGACAGCGTTTCTCAATTCTTATGTAGAAGATATAGGTAGTTTGCCAAGAGGAGGCTGCTCGGTAATTCACCTGCAGTGCATTAAAATGCTGTGGATTTTTATGATCAATAACCATGGAATTTATAGTCACAAGGAAATTAATTTATGCTATTGATTTTTAATAGCCAAAAACCATGGTATTTATACTCGAGCGCTTCAGGTATATGTATGCTCAAAGAACAATAATTTGAGTGGCACCAACTTTACTCCCTTATTTGCAATGCATAAACAATTATTTCATTTGAATTCTCAAAACTTGTGTCGCTCCACCCCGCAGGGGCAGAAAACCCATCGTTGTCTTGGCTGTGCTACCGGAGGTTCTGGGGAAGTAGGAATAAGAGAGCACTCATCTTGGGGTGGGCTTATTACTTAGATGCTTTCAGCAGTTATCTGCTCTGCACTTGGCTACCTAGCTTTTACCGTGGGCACGATAATTGGTACACCAAAGGTGCGTCATTCCCGATGAAAATTTGAGATTAAGAGCGTCCTTCCCGATGAAAATTTGAGATTAAGTTGCAAACTGTACAGAGATTAATGAGGTAGCGTTTAATTTTCAAATTTTATCACTATACTTCTACTTATGAGGAATGCATGCTCACTATACTTCTATTTATGAGGATTACATGTTTTTTGTATCATATTTACTAATCAACTAATTACGCACACTACACGTAGACAAATTCCTTATGTATGTGAATAAATGAATTTCTTTTATAGAATGATGTATGTATGAGAGACAGAGAGAGAGAGAGAGAGAGAGAGAGTGAGACGCATTTCTTTGTCTGCCATATAGTATTGTAAGGCAGTGGTCCAACATATGTGCATGTCCATCGTTGGAAAGCCCAACACATCCAAATGATCATTCAACAAACATCAGAGCAAACATTTTGCTTTTACCTAAAGAAAAAAAACAAATAGTACAATATATAGAAGAAGATAATGTTCGTA